CCCTTGCATTTTTGGATTTAGCTTGGTCTAAGATGCTGACAGTTTCCTGGTTGAAACTATGGTTAAGTCAGCCAACGTGTTATGAGATTAAGGAGTTTTCATCATGTCTTCTGACTGCTGGTTGGTGTTTGCTCTGCTAGCCTTCTGCCTGTCTGTCCTACATAGTGGTTCTTACAGTCCTTATGCTGTATGTTGTAGATGCCTCCTGTTTTTTGTTCTTGGGCTACTGGGTCTTTTGGTTTGCTTAAGATGTTTTGGAGGGCTTTAGCTGGCTTGTGTGCTACGTGTAAGGTTTACCCCGTTCGTCAGAGAAAAGGTGGCCACTCCGCTTCATAAAATTCCTCACCTGTGTGAGGAAGCAGGGTAGTTGTTTGGGGTCCCCCGAGAACTTTCCGTTCAGGCCCCAGAATTACAGTGCGTCCGCCGCCCGTCGGTCTCCTGATACCTTGCCTCCGAGGCGCGTCCTCAGAGCCGGATGGGGCACAGGACCAGCGCTGGCCTTGCCCGACTCCTCCTCCACCTGTGGTTCTGCTGCAGGGGCCTTGTTCCCATGAAGTATGGCCTGCAGCATCACCTGGATGGCTTCCACCAGCTGCTCGAATTTGGCCTCCAAGCAGGTTAGGCGTACCTCTAATTCCCAGGCTTTGGATCCTGAGCCACGGCTCGTCATGACTCCCCATACTGCCAACCCGTCGGGCCCCATGCTGACGCCAGACGACCACCTGGCATCCTCCGGCACCCTCTCAGCTGCATCCCCGTGCCCCTCGCTCTGGGCCGGTCCCACCATCGTGCCTTCAGGCTTGGGCTCCTCATTGCACCGCTGGCTCGCGCCTTCTCCGTCGCTGGCCATCTCGGTCAAAGTTGACAGGCTTGGAATACTCGGCTGTCCTGCGGACAGAATTGCGAGCACTCCTCGGTGATACTGGGTAGTGCTCAGGATGAACCCTGGCTTTGTCTGTACTTACTTACGTTACGCTTGAGTAAACTGCTTTGCTGAACACATGTGTCACGAGAGTTTCTCTGAGATGAACGGGGTAAACCTTACACTACGGAGATGCCATGTGGTTGTAATAGTCTGTTGGTAGTTTGAGACGTTACTGATGTATGCCAGTGTTATCGTTTCATAGCTTGTGTTGGTTGTGTGGTAGTAGGTTGAATGGTCAGACACTTTTTGATAAAGCTGTGTGGATATCCATTTTGTTGGAAGATGTTGTATAGGTGGTCTGTTTCCTTTTTCTGCTGTTCTGGGTTGCTGCAATGCATTTGTGCTCCTAATAATGTTTGAATAATGTTCTTACACAGCTCCTCTTGTGGGAGGCTGGGTTGTTACTTTGGTAATGCAGTACTTGATTAGTGTGAGTTGTC